ATGACCCGTTTATCCCTACTCTCTGTTTTCTACCCGTTGGCCACTCTTCAATCCATGCTAATATGTTCCCATTAATCCCGTGGGCCTTAACCTTGTGCAATAGCCTTTTGTGTGGCACTTTGTCAAATGCCTTTTTAAAATCTAAATATACTACACCTACTGGTTCCACCCTTCTAACCTGCAGATACATCTTCAAAACACTCTAAAGGATTAGTGAAGCATGACTTCCCTTTTGTAAAGCCATGTTGACTGCCTAATCTTGTTATGGTCTTCCAGGAATCCCATAACGACATCTTTAATTAAGGACTCAAGAATTTTCCCTCCCACTGATGTCAGACTAACTGGTCTATAGTTCCCATCTTTTCTCTCCCACCCTTCTTAAATAGTGGTGTCACGTTTGCAATCTTCCAATCAATGGGAATTTTGGAAGATGAAAGACAAGCCATCCACTATCTCAGTAGTCACCTCTTTTAAAACCCTGGGATGTAGGCCATCAGGTCCAGGGGATTTATCAGTTTTAAGACCTGACAATTTACCTAAAACCATTTCTTTACTAATATTAATTCCCCAAGTTGCTCACTAACATTGTCTTCTTGGTTCCCCTCTATTCTTGGTAGGTTTTCAGTGTCTTCTAAGGTGAAGACAGTAGCAAAGTACTTGTTTAATGACTCTGCCATGTCTTTGTCCCCTACTATAATTCCCCCCGTCTCTGCCTGTAACGGACCCACATTTACCTTTGACAGCCTCTTCCTCTTTATATATTTATAAAAACTCTTGCAGTCTGTCTTTATGTTCTTCGTTAGTTTGCCCTCATATTCCATTTTTTCCCTCTTAATCACTTTTTTGGTTCTCCTTTGTTGATCCCTAAAGTTCTCCCAATCCTCGGGTTTACTCCTCATCTTAGCTGTTTTATAGGCTTCTTCCTTTAACTTTATACTGTCCCTGACTGCTCTAGTTAGCCACGGTTGGGCCACCTTTCCTGTGGCATTCTTATTCCTCAAAGGAATACGTGCTCGCTGGGAATTTTGCACTATCTCCTTAAACGTCTGCCATTGCTGGTCTACTGTCAAATCCTTCAGTCTAATTTCCCAGTTTATTTTGGCCAAATCCTCTCTCATACCAGAAAAATCAGCTCTAATTACTCTCTCACTACTTCTCTCTCTAACTTAATGCTAAATTCCATCGCATTATGATCACTTTGCCCTCAAGGAGCCCTAAGTTCCAGTTTGCTGATCAGCTCTGCTTCATTGCACAAAACAAGGGCTAATATGGCCTGTTCCCTGGTTGGCTCCTCGGCCACTGATCTCCATAATTATCCCTAATACATTCTATAAACTCTTCCTCTATCATACTTTTCCCAATTTGGTTGTCCCAATCTATGTGCAGATTAAAATCACCCACAATTAATGTTTTTCCTTTACTACATGCTCTGCTAATTTCCTGATTTATACCTTGAGAGATACTGTGACTGCTGTTCGGGGGTCTATAAACTACTCCCACTGGAGTTTTCTGCCCCTTGTTGTTACGTACCTCCACCCATACTGACTCCACTTCCTGCTTTTCTGATTTAAAATCTTTCCCCTCTACTGTTTTTATCCCATCCTTTATTAGCGGGTCCACCCCCGCTCCTCGTTTACCACATTGCCTATCTTTCCTACACACCACATACCCTGGAATATTTAGCTCCCACCCTCGATCTCCCTGTAACCGTGTCTCGGTGATGACTACCAGATCATACCCATTTGTTTCTATTTGGGCAGTTAGTTCATCTCTCCTGTTTCGAATGCTTCGCACATTCAGATATAGCGCCTTTAATTCTGACTTCGGGCTATTAGTCCTATTCACCAGTGCCCTATCGCTGGACTTCCTTTCCCCGTTTGACACCCTTTGCTCATCTCCCTGGTTAATCTGCTCTCCCACTTTCATCGGTCCTAATTTTAATTGTGACGGATTACATGTGATTGAATTTACCCCCCCCCCCGCTCCCTTAGTAGTTTAAAGCCCTGTCTACCTCCCTATTTATTCGTGTTGCCAGGACATTTGTCCCAGCCCTGTTTAGGTGGAGTCCATTCCTTTGGAATAGCTCCCGTCTCCCCCAATACTGGTGCCAGTGGCCTATAAAGTGAAACCCCTGCCCTCCGCACCATTCTTTTAGCCAGGTATTCAGCTCTTTATTTTTTTTTGCCCCCGGCTCAGGTAATAATCCCGATATCAATACCTTCGAAGTTCTACTCTTTAGCTTAACTCCCAATTCCCGGAACTTGCTCCTCAACTCGTCCCTACCGGTCCTACCTACATCATTGGTCCCTATGTGAATCATAACTATTGGATCCAGTCCCTCCTGCTTCAAATTTTTCTCCAGCCCAGAAGTGACGTCCTTCACCCTGGCCCCAGGAAGGCAACAGAGTCTTCTTGTCTCCCTGCTACGGCTGCAGAAAAGTGTGTCAGTCTTCCTGACTGTCTCATCCCCAATTACCACTATATTCTTTCTGACTATTCCCAGTGTGGCCTCCTGTATAGAGGTGTTGGGGTAAGTTTGCCCATCTTCCTCACAGACTTCCTTGTCCACACAGGTTGCAAGTATTTCACACCTGTCGGACAAGGTTAAAGCCTGGAGTTCCTCTGCACCTCTCTTTCGGGTCCTCTTACGCGCCTGTCTGACCCTCACCCAGTCCTGCCCGTGGCTGGCAACGGAATGATCCCTGGGACTCGGGGGAGTGTCTGGCTCCAGTGAAACTGTCCAGGAAGCTCTCCCCATCTCTAATGCTGCGCAGTGTCTCCCCCTGAGACTCCAGCTCAGCTATTCTAAGCTGGAGCTTCCTCAGTTGCAGACATTTGCTGCAGGTGAAGTCACCCGGGCTCAGGGCCCTCCATCAACACCCACATACCACACTCCTCACACGTCCCCTGCCAGGCCATTCTCTCCTCTCACTCTATTTATCCCTGTATTATTGTCGTTTAGAAGATATACTTACCCTCTGCACCCAATTCCCACTCTCACCCAATTCCTCCTCACTCCAGACATAGCTCACTCTGGGCTCTCTGCTCGAGTAAGGCTCTCCCAGCGATCCCCTTTATATACCCTCTGGATGCAACAGTTTCCAATTGGTCAGCAGTAATTTAGAATTAACACCTAATCAAGTGATTAATCAGTATGTTGCTGTTATTGGTTAAGTCTAACTCTAATTAGCTACAACCGCTCCCTGTAGAGTTTCACCACAAGACCAATCTCCCAATGGTATCAACAGTTTTAACAGTTTTTAGTAGCACAATACTTGAACCCTTGAATACTCACGATAGCAGCTTCCACAGCAATTACCACTCTCACCCAATTCCTTCTCACTCTGGCCTTGCCTCACTCCGGACGTAGCTCACTCTGGGTTCTCTGCTCGAGTGAGGCTCTCGAGGTGTCGAGATCCATTAAACTAATGGAACAGACTTGTTGCCTGAATGGCCCTGGCGGGTCCTGTTCCTATTTTTCCTACGTTCATCTTGCATCCGAGATACAGTACTTTCATGTTGGCAGGACGTCTCAAAGTGCTTCACAGGATTTACTGTAAAGTGTAGTGACTCGGTTATGTAGGGGCAGCTAATAGGGGCAGCTAATTTGCACACAACAACATCCCATAAAGTGAGCGCGTGATTTTATCTGGGGGATTTTTGGCCAGGACACCAAGAGAGAGAAACTTCCTTCTCATCTTCCAAAGCACCGCGGGATCTTTAACATCCACCTGAACAGGGTACTGACTGGATTAACGTCTCATCCGCTGTACGTCGTATCTGACAATGCAGCGCTCTTTCCCCTCAGCGCTGTATTGTATTGTAGGGTCAGCCCGTGACCACATGAGTTCAATGTCCTGACAGTGGAGATTGAACCCATAACCTTCTGACTTGGAAGCGAGAGTCTTTCTTACGGAGCCAGGCTGACACCTTTACTCTGCAAATAAGCAACCTAACTCAACTCCACCAAAGAAGAATTCTCCCTGAATTTGTCGCCAACTTAAATGTTAAGACAAGGTGGTGTTTGGGGCTGAGACTGGGTGAGATTTCCAGGCTCGGGAGCAGGAAGTCGAGTGAGGAATGAGGCGAAAACATACAAGGACCGAAGATAATATTTTCAGGCAGCTAAAAGGCACATTGTGTGATACTGGACTATTTTTATTGTACCATGAGTGAGATAGGAAACTCAACACAAAACAGCTTCACATCACCTGCCACTCTCTGGCACTGAGGATTCCCCCCAAGGCTAGTGAAAAGGAGAAGCAACTTTCTCTCTCTGTTTCCAAGCATCCTGGAACACAATCCCCCAGATATATATGACATTGGAATTTCTGTCTGGAGAACAGTTTGTTTGCAGATGCCAATTACATGGGTTTGGATATCGCCTCAACAACAATTTGCTATTAAATAATCTCGTAAAAAAATAATCCATGACTGTTTGTGGGATACCACTGTGCACAATTGGCTCCCATGTTTCACCCTCAAAAATGTGCAGTCAATTCACTTTACAGTATATTCTGTGAAGCACTTTAAGACGTCTCGACACGTGATAAGACGCAATGTCGTGCAAGGGTTATTATTATTTATACAGCGCCTTTCACAGCGGGAAGACGAGTCAAAGCGCTTCACAGAATTCACTGTTTTGTAGGTGACTGAGACAGCCAATTTTCACACAGCGATGTCCCTAATTGCAGTCATGTGATGTGATGAGGTCCCACTAACAGCCGTGAAGTGACCCAACTGTCCATCGCTTTGGGAGTCCTCCCGACGTGAAAGGCGCTCTATAAATGGAATCTTGTTGTGGTTGAAGTGAGCCCGTGATTTTATCCGGGAGATTGTTGGCCAAGACACCTGGAGAGAGTGAGAGAGAGAAACTCTTGTCTCTGTTCCCGATCGTTAACATCCACCGAATCAGGGCAGTGAGGTTTAACATCTCATCTGAATGACGGCGTCTCTGACAATGCGTCTCTCTCTCTCTCTCCGGGCTGGAGCGTCAGCCTGAATTGTGAGCTCAGAGTCCCTGACTTGCGGTTTGAACCCTCAACCTCCTAACTCGGAGGCCAGAGTGCGAGCTCGGCAGCTGAAACACTGAGCAACCCAGAAAATCGGAGGCCAGAATACCAGCAGCTCCCTGGCAAATACCGTCAGTGTCACTATCCCAACACACATGTGGTATACAGCACCCTCCCGTTACATATCACTGCCTGACACATGTACATGTCGCCGTTTCGATGTGTACACAGCAGCGTGGTCTGGGCACGATACCCTCGCTCTCTCTTTGGCTTCACTGTCCTTTTGATCTCAGCCACTTGTGTTCTCTCCCCTCACATACTCTCTCTACCTCTCCGCTCACTCTCTCCCCACTTTCTCTTCCCCATCTCTCAGGGCCTGCATACTTGCCCCTCCGCTCGCTTGTTCTCTCTCTCTCTCTCTGGTACTCACTTTCTCCCCTCTCTTTGTCTCTCTCTCCTCACCTCCTCAAGGCACGTCTCAAGACCCTCTTCCACCATGCCTTCGATCACCCTCCTACCCCGACCCTCACTACTCTCCACACCCAGTTTGGGTCTGACTGTGCAGTGCCTTTGGACGTACTTCCGACACGAAAGGCCTTGTGTAAATGTCTTTTGTTGGGGTTGTTTACCCGCTTTTCGATCGTGCCTGAAGATCTTCCTCTTCGACCGTGCTTCCGTTCACCTTGCCCCGGCTCAGCATCAGACTCCGAGACGCTGTCCCGGGTGAAGGCTCCGCAAGTTGTTATTGTCCTTGCCGGTCGGGTCGGAGGTCTGAAGCCGGGTCTCGAGTCTCGGATATGTCTCCGCTCACTCTGCCTTTTTCAGGGGGGTCTTCATGGCTTCCATCAAAGGTCGGCGGGTGAGGGGCACGGCCTGAGCCAGTGCGGTCAGCACCTTCCCGTGCAGCAGTAACAGTGCAGTCTGGTGGATGGACGCCCAGATCCGGTAGCAGGCGCCATAGAAGGGGTCCGAGACAGCCGGGCACAGCATGTTGTTCAGGTTCACCTGGGTCACCTGGAAAATACAAGGAGCCCATTACTGTCACCAGTCACACAGCTACAGCACACTGTCTCATACTGCTCGCTCCCCCACTCAAACTCTCTACTCTAACCCCATTCCCTGCTCTCTCTCCCATTGTGTCTGTGCTGGGGCTCGCTCCCCCACTGGAGCTCTCTAACCCCATCCATCTGAACAGGCAGACGGACCTCGGTTTAATGAACCTCTTTTAATGTTCATCCATTTCCTCATTTCATACCCTGTAATATTGCACAATGTAGCAATCCCCCAGCACTACACTGGGAGCATCAGCCTAGACTGGCCTACACCGGGGGCTTGAACCCAGTCTTCTAACTCAACGGTGAGAGTGTGCCAAACCATTTCCACACAGTGCTCCATCTCTTTCACTGTGAGGATATTGCACACTGCATTGTCACCTCTCTCCCAGCAAAGGGGATGGGAGTCCTGAAGGGTATTGGTTAGTCCGTTTGCCTCTCAAGTAAGGGGACCCGGGTTCAAAACGTTAGGCAAGCTTCCTTACTCCTCACACCTCTGTTTACCAGCAGTAAGTAGGAACCCAGTTGTTAGTCGCTTGGCAGATCACATTCCAGGGGAAATAATCCCCCCAATAAATAAATACAATTTGGTCCCTTCAATCCACGGCTGTTTGTGGGACACTGCTGTGAGCAATTGGCTACTGCGTTTCGTCCACAAGATAATATAATAATAATCTTTGCATTTGATATAGTGTTTTTCACATCTTCTCGACGTCTCAAAGAGCTTCACAGAATATGCTGTAAAGTGAATTGACCGTATATTTGTGGGCGAAACACGGCAGCCAATTGCACACAGCAATGTACAAACAATCGTAGATTGAAAATGACCAATTTATTATTGTTTTGTTTTGGAGGGATTATTATTAGGCTCTGTGTGGAGTAAGGAAACTTGCCCAAGGTTTCGCCCTCTGCCTGGAATTGAACTCAGGTCTCTCGCTTGCAAGGCGAGTGCTCTAACCACTGAGCTACAGGACTCCACAAGATACACAGTCAATCCACTTTACAGTGTGTCTGCCCTGTGAAGCGCTTTGAGAACGATGTGATAAGGCGCTATATCAAATGCAAGGAATATTATTATTAAGCGTTGACTCACCATGGCTAAGGTCTGCAGCAGTGTGAAGTGATAGAAGAACAGCAACCCTGTGGCCAGCACAGCCCACCACATGTCCCCAAAGGGCTCTGCCTTGTACACACCTGAAACACATGCAGTGAGTCTGTCACCTCAAGAGAGCAACTGAGAGACCATTTGATACCTATATTAAGAGAGAGTGGTAATGTAGGGGAGGAAATTGCAGATGCGTTAGTCATAATTTTCCAAAGTTCTATATTCGGGAGTTGTGCCTTTGGATTGGAGAATTGCAAATGCCACTTCATCACTTAAGAAGGGAGGGAGGGAGAAACCAGGTAATTACAGACCTGTCAACTTCACTTCACTCGTGGGGAAGTCACTGGAATCTCTCATCAGGGATAGAGTGACTGAGTATGAGCAAGTCAAAGAGAGTCAGCATGGATTTGAGAGGATAGGTTATGTCTGATGAATCTAATTGAATTTTTTTAGGAGATCACTAACATGCTGGATAAGAGAGTGTTTATAGATATCGTCTGCATAGACTTTCTTTTTAGAAGGAATTTGATAAGGTTTTGCACAAGAAGTTATTAGCAAAAGATAAAAGCTCATGGAATCAGAGGTAACCTTGCAATGTGGCTTGGTAATTGGTTGGGAGGCAGGAAACCGAGAGTAGGGATAAAGGAACGTTCCCTGATTGTCGGATGTGACAGGTGGTGTAGCCCAGGGGTCTGTATTGGGGCCCGGGTTTTTCACCATATAAATGACTTTGATGAAGAAATAGAGAGGTTTATAACAAAATTTGCAGATGACACAAAGTTAGGAGGCTCAGTAAATTGTGCAGATGGGTGCAGGAAGATACAAGGGGACTTTGATTAAGTGAGTGGGCAAAACTGTGGCAGATGGAATTCAATGTGGGGAAGTGTGAGGCCGTCAACTATGGATCCAAAAATAGCAAAACACAATATATTCTAAATGGCAAGAAACTAAGAACTGTGGAGGAGCAAAGGGATTTGGGTGTCTGCGGAGACAAATCACTAAAAACAAGCCGCAAAATGTTATCACAAACACTGATAGGATGTTGGTCTTTATCTCAAGGGAGCTGAATGGCCTACACCTGTTTATGGATCACTTCATCAATTTTTTGGGGGATCAGCTGAGTGTCTGAGACATGCTTAAGAAATATTGTTGGAATGGATTGTGCATCCCCTAGAGGGATGCATCCTGCTTGCCTAATTCCATGGAGTATTAGGTACAGTTTGGGGACCCCAGAGTGTGTGTTGGGAGTCTAACCAGCTAACACCACATAGTTTGCCATTGAAAGCGCTGTTTGGCGAGCTTTCACGCTGCTTGTCCAGCTGGATCACCCTATCCATTATTAAGGCTTTGGCTACAGGGTTAACAGGACCTGAGTGAGAGGATTCGACTTCAAGATCCTCACTTTGTGTTCAAATCCATTCACTCTCTGCCACCTCCCAACGTCTCTGACCGTCTCACTCCCCAATCCACCACTCAACACCTCCACTCAACTGGCACTGGCCTCCTGCTCGTCCCTTGCACCCTCCGCCCCAACATCGGAGGTCTCGCTTTCAGCCACTAGTCCCCCAAACTCTGGAATGCTCTTCCTCAATCCCTCTGCCTCATCCCCCATCCCTCCCCTCTATCAAGTCCTGCCTGAAGACTTTCCTGTTCGACTGTGCTTATGGCTACCTTCCCCCTCCTCCTGTCTCGGGAGTTAGGCTCCACCACTGTTAAGCGCTCTGAGATGGTGCCCTGCATGGGGGGGCGTTATATAAGTGCAAGTTGTTGTTGATGATTCCTTGTCCCCAGTGACTGTCATCAGCAGTACCCTGGAGCACTGCGGACCTGCCTGGCTCAGGAACTGGACAACCAAGACCACCACAATGGATCGGCTTGGTGCTGACAATCCACTTACCCCCCCCGCCAAGGAAGATAGTCAGTACTTGGTAGGCATGTGACAAACGCAGGTTTGAGCCTCACTGGATAGAAGGCAAGTGCCACTGTTAAACACTCTGAGATGCGTGAAGTGTGCTTTGTATATGTAAAGTTGTTGTACAATTCAGTGAGAAATATCAGGTCAGACTCACCGCCTTGGTGCAGCAGGTAGATGGGAACGATGTACAGGAGGACGTGCTGAATGTAATACACCTCGGTTTCAAAGGGGAGCTTCAAGGAGAGAGATCACATTTATATCAGAGGTCATCACAAGGGTCTCACCACTGAGGGACAGTTGTGAGGAAGGTGGGACTCTTTAGAATGCACAGGGTTAAGGGGCGACTGGATCGAAGATTTACAACTGGGATTGACTATTTCAGGAGTGCTGTAGCTCAGGGGTTAGAGAGCTCACCTCGCACACAAGAGGACCCAGGTTTGATTCTCAGGCATGGAAAACCTTAGGCAAGTTTCCTTGCTCCACGCCTGGTTACCTAACAGTAAGTAAGTCTCAAAGCGCTTCACAGGACATACTCGCCTTCTGTGTGGTAAGAGTGAAAGCCTGGCTCAGTGGAGTGTAGTGACTGTGTATTTTGTGGGCAAAATGTAGCAGTCAATTGCACACGGCAGTGTCCCACAAATAGTCAAGGGTTTTGTGACCAAATTATTATTTTTGGAGGGATTATTACCCCTGGAAAGTGATCCGCCAATTGCCTAACGACCGGGTCCTACTTACTGCTGGTAAACAGAGGCCTGTGTGTGGAGTAAGAAAATTTACTTAATAATAATAATAATCCTTGCATTTGATATAGCGCTTTTCACGTCGGGAGGACGTCCCAAAGCACTTCACAGAACACACTGTAAAGTGAATTGACTGTATTTTTTGTGGGCGAACGCGGCAGCCAATTGCGCACAGCAATGTCCCACAAACAGTCGTGGGTTGAAAATGACTAATTTATTATTGTTTTGGAGGGATTATTATTAGGCTCTGTGTGGAGTAAGGAAACTTGCCCAAGGTCTCGCCCTGACCTGCCGGGGATTGAACTCAGGTCTCTCACTTGCAAAGCGAGTGCTCTAACCACTGAGCTACAGGACTCCACAAAGGTTTTGCCCTGACCGGGAATCAAACCCGGATTGTTTCGCTTGCAAACCACTATGTTGCTGGACTCCACAACGCTATGAAGACAGATCCCATGGGAGCGGCGTTCCCGTGAGTGAGCAGCATGGAACTCTGACTAGCGTAAAATCAACCCATCACATCCCGCCACATGCACAAGCCCTGACACTCACCAGCCTGGTGTTGACGACAGGAAAGATCAGTGCCAGCAGGGCTCCATTCAGCATGTGCACATGTAACCTGTGGAGTGAGCACAGGTTAGACTTTAACAACCAATAATCGGGGCACTGAGACAGCAACAACAAGATTACATGTGTATAGCGCCTTTCACATCAGGAGGTCGTCCCAAGGCGCTGGACAGAGTACAGCATTTCAGACCCGAGCTGCGGTTGGGGGGAAGGGGGGGGCAGGGAGAGGGGAGGGGAAGGAGGGTGTCCGATGGCATGGTCGAAGAGGAGGGTCTTGAGGCGGGACTTTAAGGAGGCTAAGGAGGGGGCGAGGAGGGGTGATTGGGGGATGGAATTCCAGAGGTTGGAGGCAGAGTGGCTGCCAGTGGTGGGGAGGGTGGGTCAGGGGATGTGGAGCGGGCCGGAGTCCCTGTTGCCAAGTGCCGTGGTGTCAACCTGGCTCAGTTACTCACACACTCGCCTGCAAGTCATAGAGAATCATAGAATATTACAGCACAGAAGTAGGCCATTCGGCCCATCATGCCTGTGCCGGCTTTGGAAGAGCTGCCCGATCAGTCCCACATTGGGACACATTTTTTCATAGCCTTGCAAATTTTTCCTTTTCAAGTTTGACAGTTGTGCGTTCCCGACCTCTCACGTGGGGGGACTTTGAGCTCACAGTGCAGACTGATGATCGCTCCAGTGCAGTGCTGGGGGGGAAAGAGCGCTGCATTGTCATAGATGCCGTCTTCGGACGAGATGTTAAAAATATGTTTGTTTTTAAATGTCACCCAATCGCGCTGTGCGCTGCTGCGTTTCGTCCACAAAAATATAGTCAATTCACTTTATAATATATTGTGTGAAGTGTTTTGAGATGTCTGTATGACGTGACAAGGCGCTATAGCAAATGCAGGGATTATTATTGTTATTATATAGGCACTGGCGTGAGTGAGCGAACAAACAAACTGGGATTTGCTACATGCCAGCCATAAATCAACCCCGAGAACTCCAATTACAGCAACAGCCTGGCTCTCACACAAGCCTCTGGGCTACTCCCCAAGGCAATGGGCAGCTCAGCTCAAAGAGTGCGGTACAAAAGAATGGGAAACTCTGCTCATCTGCAAACTGTGATGTTACCCTCAGGCTATTGTATCCGCTGGTGTGACATTGTGTTACCCACTGAGGTCATCAGGACCTCCTCCTGACGAGAAAGGCACTATACAAATCTAATTTGCTGTTGAGCATTCAACCTCAGTGCTTCAGGGTATGAAAGACGATCTCTCACGTGTTGCAATGGGCACACCCTGTGATCTCTGGTTTCTCATCTGTGCTGTGTTGATGCCTGAGTTAGCTTGTTTATAATCCTATAATAATTATGATTATAATAATTGTTGCGTCATTGAGACGTCTCAAAGTGCTTCACAGAACATACTGTAAAATGGATTGACTGTGTATTTTGTGGGTGAAACAATTATAGATTGAATCACCATTTTTTTGGGGCAGTGGGGGGATGGATTATTCTCCCAGAAATAGCCAATGTCTTCTGTGAGCGTGTTCCACAATCCCACTTTGGGATGATCTCACGACCCAAGAACTTAACGTCATTAGACATCCTTTGAGACATCCTCCCGACCTAAACAACATAGTAAATTGTTGTTGTTTTTACTGGGTGATCTCACCTGAAGACGATCAGGGCAGCTTTACACGGTGGGCAGGCAAGCAGGAAAATCTGTAATAAAACACACACAGCCTGAGTGAGTAAGCCTCCTCTTTGACCGGGCCTTCAGCCTCACCCCCACTCTTCCAATCCAAGTTTAAAATCCTCGGCCTCACTTTTATCCTTCCACAGTCTTGCTCCTCCCTACCTCTGTAACCTGCCAACTGTCCGCTCCCTCCCCTCAGCACTCTGGCCTGCTCCATATCCCCCACTCGGCCCACCCCACCATCAGCAGTCGGGTGTTCAGCCTCTCTGCCCCCACCCTCTGAAACTCCATCCCACATTCCCTTCGCCTCGCTCCCTCCCTTGCCTCCTAGGCCCGTCTCAAGATTGACTTTAGGAGCAAGACTGTGGAAGGGCTGATAAAGTAGACACTGAGGGTCTGTTTCCCCGGGAGGAGAATCTCTAACCGGGGGTCACAGTCTGAAAATTAAGGGTCAGTCTTTTAGAACAGAGTTGAGGAAACATTTCTTCACTCAGAGGGCAGTGAATTTATGGAATTCACTCCCCCAGAAGGCTGTAGATGTCAGTCCTCGAACATTTAAAAAAATAGAGGGATTAGGAGGATATGGGGAGAGGGCAGGTAATTAGAGTTGGGTCAGAAGATCAGCCATAATCTTATCAAATGGCGGGGCACAGGCTCGAGGGGCCGAATGGCCGTCTCCTGCTCCTAATTCTTATGTTCTTCACCGCACTCTCCCTGCCCTCTCAGCATAAAAGGTGCTGTGTAAATGTAATCTTGTTGTTGTTGTTGTTTGGGAGAACTGTTGGCCAGCAGTGCAGGAAAGATTTACATTTCTACATCGGTCTTTGAATATTAGTAATAATCCTTGCATTTGATATAGCGCCTTATCATATCGTTGAGATGTCTCAAAATATATTGTGATGGATTGACAATATTTGTGGGCGAACACAGCAGCCTTTCACATGCAGATTGAGTGATCACATTACCCCTGGAAAGCGATCCACCAATCGATTAACAACCAAGTTCTTAAGAGGCATGTGGGGTTAGGAAACTTACCTAACGTTTTGCCCCTTAAGACTTGGGAATCAAACCTGGATCCTTGCTTGCGAGTGCTCTAACCACTACAGGACTATCCTTCAGTGTTTACCTCACCAGGGCTGTTCAGTGGAGGTGCCTGTGAGCTGCTGACATGTGTCGCATTTCTTGAGAGCTCAATTGGCATTTGGAAACTGGAAAAGCTGGCTTGGGCCAGAAAGAGAGTGACATAGAGAAAGAGCCTGAGGTAATCTCTCAGAATTTGGTCACTGCTTCTAAATCACCTCACATCATCAAAATCCATTGTCCAGCTCATCCCCTCTCCCACAGGAAGGACGGCTTGTGCTGTGTGAGTGGTTTTGTGGAAAGAATAATAATCCTTGCATTTGATACAGCTCATTATCACATCATCGAGATATATCAAAGAGCTTCACAGGATGCACTGTAAAGTGCAGTGACTGTAAAGTTTGATTAACTATTGGGTTATAAGTAACCATAATTTATATGGTCAGGCAGGGCCACGGTTGGAGTAGTGTGAAGTATTGGGCTTCTCATCACAGGAAAAATGTTTAGGCTCTGGTGCAGAGAATAGTCCATCGGGTGTTGCTGGAATGAGGAAATGCAGTTATAGAGAAAGGAGCAGTTATTTGGAGCTCAATGGCTGAGAGTGGATGTGCCAGAGGTATATACAATGATAAGAGTCTCAGAGGGTGGATGAGGAGAGATTACTTGCGGTGGTCGAGGTTGAGAACTTAGTTTTAAAATCAAAACCGGGAGCTTGAGAACAGAGGAATCTTTTCACACGCGCAGTGGGAGTGTGGAATTCTCTGCCTCAGTCAGTTGTTAGGCTGGCAAACATGTGCACAGTCAAAAAAGAAACCTGGAGAGAATAAAGTTGACGGATGCAGGGGAAAAAATACACAAATCACCCACAAAATACAGTCAATCTGCTTTACAGTATATCCTGTGAGGCATTTTGAGATGTCTCAATGACGTGATAAGACGCTGAATCAAATGCAAGGATTATTATTAAAAAGATGGATATGGAACTAGAGATAGGATCTAGAATGGATACTTGTGTGGTATATAAACATCAGCCAGATTGGAGGCTATTTATATTTCACATTTGGAGCAAAGGCAGATAATTAGAGTTGAGGTACAGATCAGCCATGATCTAATAGAGTGATGGAAAAGGCTCGAGGGGCTGAATGGCCTCCTCCTGTTCCTACGGCCAAAAAGCTTCTTTCTGAGCTGCACCGTCTACGAATCTATGAATGATTAAACAGAATATAAGCTTCCCTGTTCTAACAATGAACCTTTGTATGTGGCACTGTGACTGCACTGATCAGGTCAGTGTTCACCTGTGTAATACAATCTCACGGTTTCCAAGCCACACTTGGCTTCGCTTCAATTCCCCACATGAATGTGCACACAACACGTACTCGGAGCTCAAACTCTGTGTATGTAACAGCTCTGGCCCAGCACTGAGGAGTAATACAGTAATAATATATTAATTACATATTACACAGATGAACAGTGACCTGATCAGTGCAGTCGCAGTGCTTATATTATTAGGCGAGGCGTGTGCTTGAACCAGTATTCTTCAGGAGCCTGGCTAGAATTGGTAGGATGGGGGTAGGGAGTTTAGTGTGTGTGATAGGGAGCCAGTGGAGCCTGATGAGGGCTGGGGTGATGGGGGTAGGGAGTTTAGTATGGGTGAGTATGCGAGTCGCAGAGTGCATCCCTCAATCTTCCAAACTCAGTGGAATACAGACCAACTTTATTGAACCTGTCCACATAATTTAATCCTTTAAGCCCTGGTATCAGTTCCTAATGTGCCAGGTGGACAGACAGACAGACATACCTGTATGAGTGTGACCAGGTGGCAGGGGTTGAGGAGGTAGATGAGGCTCCTGGTGGCACATTTGAAACCAATCTCCGCTCCGAAGGTCAAGCATACAGCGACCAGCAGCAGGTTCCTGCCCAGGCTGTCCTGGCGTTCCGGGAAAGAAGGGGCGCGGAATAGCGGCTCATCTCGGAGTCCTGGCTGGATCTTCCTGCAGGCGATGACCACCTCCAGGGCAGAGAGGCTGACCATGACCACACTCTCTGCCAGCCGCTGCGCCCAGGGGAGGAAGGAGGCGCACTCCTCCCCCCCATTACCCGCGATGGTGGGGTCCACACCCCCATACGCCCAGTCCAGCAGGTCTGCCCAGTCCGGCATCTCAGCCACACAGCATCCAGCACGCAGGGGGGAAGGAAGGGGAGGGGCAGTGAAAGGGAGGGACAGAGAGAGAGGGGGAGAAGGAAAAGGAGGGGCAGCGAGAGGGAGGGACAGTGAGAGAGAGGGGAAGGAAAGTAGGGAGGGGGGGTTGAGGGGGAGAAACGGGGGAGTGAGACGGGGGAGTGAGACAGAGGGGAAGAGAAAGACAAAGAAAGGAGAAAGAGGGGGAAAGAGAAGAAAGGGGGAGAGAAAGAGAGGGAAAGAGAAGAAGGGGAGAGAAAGAGGGAAAGAAGAAAGGGGGAGAGAAAGAGAGGGAAAGAGAAGAAAGGGGGAGAGAAAGAGAGGGAAAGAGAAGAAAGGGGGAGAGAAAGAGAGGGAAAGAGAAGAAAGGGGGAGAGAAAGAGGGAAAGGGCAGAGAAGGGGGAGAGAGGGAGTGAGAGGAAGTAGAGAGAGAGGATGGGGGTGTAAGACTGCAGCCCTTGTTCACACACACAGACAGACTGTTTCTTGAAACTCCGTCACCAAAACCTTCTGTCTAAACACAAAAACATTCCACTTCTCGAGAATTCCTAAAGTTCTCCACGTTGAAACTTGTTTCTCGCCACAAACAGATGGTTAAAATAAAAAAAAGGTCCACTTTGTTGTCTCCTTCTGTGAGCTTAAATTACCACAGGCGGTTGTTTCTCTCTCCGCCTCTATGCTTCTCCGTCTCCCAACGTGAAAGGTGCTTAAACAAATGTAATTTGTTGTCGTCTCTCTGTTTTGGACTGAAATGAAGCAGATGCTTTTGAGGGCTTCATGTGGTTGCTCTAACCTCCCGGGTGTGCTTCCAGTCACAGACCCTGATGACATTTCTGCTCAGCTCTCAGCTCATTCCTGGCAAATTATGTTAAAAAAAAGTTTAAATTATGCAGGAGATTCCACAGTGTGGGAGGAACACTCACTCACACCCTCCCTCTCGCCACTCTGAGTACAAACATCCTCACCACTTTGACAAAGTTGAAGGAAACTTTGCTGGAGAGAGAATATGAGTAGAATTGGGAGGGTGGGTGGGGGGGAG